TCCTATTCAGAATGGAATTAAGAACGCATATTTAGTTTTTGTAATCTAATTTCAAAAAGAGACAAACACCTCACCTCTGCTAACTGGAATAGTGTTGCTTTCCTTTCATGTTGTCCTGTGAAGTTAAACATTTGAGTCATTGGTGGTGGTGTTTTAGGAATGGCACAACTCATTCTGGGTTGGCAAAGAGAGAAGTTTTAGTTAACCACAAAGGAGCTAGCAAAACACCTCTAGGTCATCAAAGTTCAGGTACTGCTGGGAAAGTCTCTGATTAACAGTTTTAGCATTCTTGATCTCCAAATGATTCTTTAACAAAAACCAGTTTGCTTCCTAATCATGTTTTGCTTTGTTTTCACTATTCCTAACTGGCAGCTTTTCTTTCTCTGCTGTCACCAATAGGATGTTTTAAAACAGGGTTGCTGTTGTCTTCTGGAGAAAAAAATATATTAATCATTCACTGACTCTTCTTCCCACTTCCAGTTGTAAAGGCTTCACAACTGGAGGCTTATAGATAATTGTTTCAGTGATGCGTGTAGTTGAAAAGAATCTAACTTTGGCTCTGCAGTGTTCATGGTAGTAAAAACTCAGCATTGGCAGTCAAGTAAGCAGATGGGCAGTTTAAATGGGAAATGAGACAGGCCTAGTGAACAACTGACATGTTAAGATGTTTGTGTAGAGGGGACAATGTAGTGGAAAAGCCCACCATATTTGCCATCCTATTTGGTCTAGTTTTTATTCAGGCTAGTTAAAAGCCACTTTTCAGCGTCTCAAAAGGCTAAAGCATTTGGTTAAGCTCCTCCTTTACTAGGGGGAAGACATGGTTTTGTGACTGACTGAAAAAAACCTTCTTTATTGGGTGGGTGTGAAAACATTGCTTAAATGTTATTTAAAGCCTTGCACCAGTTGTATTTTACCCTGCTTTGCATTTTCCTTAATGCTCCTGCAAGAACCAGCCCCCAACAGTATGATTTGAAATCCCAGCTGCTGTCTGCATAAACCCACTGGTGGAGGAAGGGGGTGCAGCCCACCCAGGTGTCATCCCTGAGGGGGGTGACATTGCCTCCCTGGGATGCTTGCCCCACCATGTGGGCGGCTAGCCCTGCCCCCCAGTGCACAGCATGTGCGCCGCTCCAGGTGCCAGAGCAGCTAGCTCCGCCTCTGCATATACCCATGCACACACAACTTGTTTCTTTACAAATCTTTTTAGCTGTGTGTTGCACAGCCTCTGAAGAATTTACTTAAAGAGCATAAGGGTAAAAGCTCATACAATGGTGGGCAGTGGTGCCACCAGGGCAGATCTGTGGGGTGGAAGATCGGGGGCCCACTCTGCAGAATGAATCAGAAGAGCCCCCAAACAAAGCAGGGCTACCTCTTATGTTTTGTTGCGTATTTTAATTATGGATGTTTGTGTTTTGACGCATGTGTCATTGGATTTTATGCTTGTACACCACTAAAAGGCCTATTTTGGCATTAAGCAGTATGCAGATACAGTAAATGCTTCTCAAAAGTTTGATTTTGTTTATTACAAGATCAGAAATAGTATCTATTCTTCTGGCTAAACTCAAATGTTGTAAATAAAAATAGACTGGTGTTCTGAAGAAGATGCAGTTTGCAGTCTTGGACTTAGCCTTAGATTGCCCCACAAAGCAGCTTCTTGTATACCTGGCTTTAGAAAAGGAATTCCTGTGACAATTTGAAATGTGAAAACTGTGGCACTTCAATTGTGTTAGATGCCCTTGTGTGGGAACAATGGTCCAATGCAGTGTGAATGCAGCTCCTGCACATTTACACAAATTCCTGGTAATTGAAGGAGCTTCTCTCCCCATATATGCCAATCTGTGTATTGAGATCTGCTGGGGCAGCCCTGCTGATGCCAACTTTAACCACAGCTCATGCCATGGTGACACATAGCAGGGCCTTCTCGGACTTGGCACCCTAATATTGTAATTCCCTCCTGGTGGGTATATATATATATATATATATATATATATATATCCCTTGTTCTTATCATTTTGCTGCCAATTGCTCAGCCTGACCCTTGGAAGGTCACAATATGATCTGTGGTTGCTTTGTGACTATATGTTGTCCTGCTGTTGGTCTTTTCTGTATTATCATAATTCTTGGGTTAAAATGCTGATATCTTATTTTGCATTTTAATATAAATTGTTCAGCACCCTGGGAACTTTGGTTGAAGGGTGAGCTAAAAATACTGATAGGTGGTTAAGAAAAAATTACTGGACTGAAATGTGCAGGATGAGAGAATCTACACACCCTGAATGAGCTGTGTGTTGGATGTTCTCTTATATTAAACACCCATCTAATAAAGCACTCTTGCCCTAAGTGCCACAGCAACTGTAGCGATTCATTTTGGGAATTGCACACCCCATTGCTAAATTACTTGGCTGCTTATCTTGCAGGTTTTGTTCTTCCATTGTAACACTTTCCATTTGTTTCCACGTTGTCCATTTTATTTGGTTTACAATTTGTTCTTCCATAGCAATTTCTTCTTTAACAATATTGTCAGGGGTTCAGGGACAGAGGCACAGGGTAGGCAGGAGATGGAGAGCGATGGGGATGAATCCCAGGACAGCAAGGAAGAGGATGACAATGACTCAAGAGATTCCATGAGTCTTTCCAGCGAATCAGAGGATTCCCAGAAGGGGGCGCCGGTGGTCAAGGCCAGGGAAGCCCCAGGGGGGACGTGTCAGGAGAAGGGGACCAGCGGGGGATCCCAAAGTGGCAGCTGGGCGTCAGGACCAGCCTCCCCGCCAGAGTGCAGCGAAGGGGGTGGAGATTCCAGTGTATCAGGGGAAGCAGCTCCGGCAGCAGAGAAGGGAGGGAGGTCGGAGCAAGCCACCCTCCCGGAAGGAGGGGAGTAGTGAAGGGAGTAGTGTAACTGTCAAAAGGAAGGTTAGAGGTTGGGCGCGCGCCAAGTTCAAATGTGGAGGCGCGCGGAAGTACAGGGAGCCCGGAGGAGGAGCCAGGTCCCAAAGCCCGCAGGAGGGGGGGAAGAGCAATCTGGGGATTCCGCGTCAGGGGAATCCAGGAGGGGCAAAACCCCAGCGGGCAGGAAGACCCTGCGGAAAAGGAAAGAGAGGAAGAGGTGGAGCAGCGCAAGCCTCTTAAACTGGTGCAGGGGAGGGACTGACTCAGAGGGGACTTCAACGGTCTAAGCGTAACAGACGTGGGGCTGCGCGCCTCGGATGTGAAGCAAACAATGAACTTCAATAAACACCTTTGTATATAAGAAGAACTTGGCGTTGGTCTTTTGTGAGCTGAGACCTGAGGCAGCCCTGACAAATATATATATATATATATATATATATATATATATATATATATACTTCGGACTGGCAAATTACTTTTATGCCAGCTAAGGAAACAAACCATTTTGCCGTATTAAAGGTTTTTCTTAAACACTGCAACAAAATCTGGAGGGACTTGTTCAAATGAATTGCCATGTTGTATTTTCTAGTCCCCTAGCATGGGATTATGTGTGCAGCTTCTGTGGGGAGAAGGTGTGCGTGTGCTGGAGAACGATGGTAAAACTAAACCCCCTGGATGATGGCCAGCAGAATGTCAAAATCCCTTGACTGATTTCCCATGGAGTTCTTGATCTAAATGTCAGGGGACGAAGCATCTAGTAAGGCTTAATGAACTGACCCAGCTAAGATTACAGTGTTGTAAATCTGTTGTTATTATGGATCTGGGAAGATTCAGTTTACGACAAAAGCTGGAGCAGTGCTTGGTGTGTTTTAGATGTGAGACAGAATACTATGCATCTTTATTGTGAGATTTGTTTGCTTTAAAAATGTGAAAGATAAGGATCTGCTTTGGACTACCGAAGTCCTATATATTCTGACCAGGAATGGCCCTCCCCAGAATCTGAAACCTTCATAGAAGCATGTGTTCTACCAATATGGACAGACGCCAAGTATGCACACAGCTGTGTCTCCCTACAATCAATGAGGATGCTGTTGTACCATCTGTTTTGAAAGACTGGGTCTCTGTTGAGGAAAAATACATCATTAGATTCCCACCCTTGTGGATAATTTAAGATCTCTGTCCAATCTGCCATTTTAAGCAAGGTGCTTGGATGAGTTGTGGCACCTCAACTCCAGGCATTCTAAGATGATACTGATTACTTGGATCCTTTCCAGTGTTTGCTTCAGGCCCAGTTTCATGAATGAAACAGCTTTGGTCACCTTGGTGGCCAGTCTTCATTGGGAGGAAAGTGTCTCTGTTGGCTCTGCTAGGGCGCAACAGCTTTCGCTACCATTTATCACAATGTCTATTTGGGACATTCAGTGCTTACTTGAAATGACAGGAGAGAGCTGTAAAGTCCTCGTGGCTCACAAGATATCTCACTGCTAACATGCTACCTGTCAGGTACTGGGTAGAGGAGGAATGGTGGAGACCATCCCCATCCTGACCCTTCCAGGGAGGAGGAAAAGGAAGACAGTATAGATTTACAACAGGAGTTTGAGGGATGTAGCAGCTCAGAGGCAGATGAGGGGGAAAGCTGGGAAATCATGGGAGAGCCAGGACAACACCCAGCTGAAATGTTGTCGTTAGAAAGCATTCCAGACCCTCCATCTCCCAGAACCCAGCAAGCCTTAAAAGTAGGAGATCAAAGAGCTCAAAGACAGAGGGCATGAGCAGCACCTGTAGAGAAGATGATGAGAATGACTAATGAGGAAATGGGAGAGATGGGGAGGGGGAGATTCATTTGCGACAACGCCATTATATCCAAGAAGCTGGGTTCTATAGCCTCTCTCTGTAAAGACTGAAATAAAAAAGGACGGTAATTATACTTTCTTGGGCAACCAGCCGGGAGCTGCCGGTAGCATCTTGACACTTCCCTGCTCAACAGCTGTTGGGTGGGAAGCTATATTTACTATGCTGGGCTCCCTACTTATGTGCATTTCACTTATGCACACTGGGACCCGGAAAGTGATCCCCATGTAAGTAGGGAATCGCTGCTTCAAGGATCTTTGGAAAGGGCCATCGCTCAGTGGCAGAGTACATGCTTTGCACACAGAAAGTTCCCAGGTTCAATCCCTGGTGTTCCCAGGAAGGGCTGAGAATAACTTTTGCTGGAAAGCTGCTGCCAGTGACCTCAATGGGTCAATGGTCTGACTTGGTGGATGGCAGGCTTCTGTTTTCAAACATAAGGAACAAAGCAGATGAGCCACTGGAAAAACACTGGCCTTTCCTTTTACAAAAAAGACAGACAGACAGACAGACAGAAAAAATACCTGCAAGAGACTTTGATTTTGTTTGGAGTAACAGCCCTTTAGGGATGAGCTGCATGACCCTTTGCCCCAGGCTATTTTCTTGCTCTAAATATCCCCTCCCCAAAATTAGCAACATGGAGGAACAAGGGGGATGCAGGAATTATATTGGTACCTACATTTTTGTCCAGCACACTAACAGCATCTTTCAAGTAGATGTACATATATGTAATTGATATTGAGGGAAGTGACAAGGGGAAGACAAGGGATAAAGACATGCACACCAAGACTGTTGCACAGGTTGGTAGTTCCCAATATATTTGGGGTGGGGTTGTTTTTGAAGGCAATTTTTTTGTACATTGATTCCTGAGCAAAAACTGCTTGGGAAAGCAGTCATGCTGCAGCTCACCAAAGCAAACTTGAAAAGGGCCTGCATATATAAAAGCACAGCCTTCTGTTGATAAAGAAACAGTCTGAGAACTGTCAAGCAGTCTCTCCCCCCCCCCCTTCTGCTTCTTGGAAAAGCGTTAAGCACCTGTCTCTCCAGTGCTCTTGCTCCATTCAAACTGAAGTCTCTTGCAGCTGCTTCAATGTGGTTTTTTTGGGTTTTTTTAAAGGTAATCTGACCCTCGATCTCCTGCATCACATCTGTTTTGGCCCTAACAAGGGAAGACTAGGAGAAAGAAAAGGGAGATGAGGCAGCGGTGGAGGAAGCCACTCGGATGCCTAGGGTAGCACACCCAGGGGCGGGGACTCACCATGGGGCCTCCAGAGTCTGCCTACCTGCCCTACAGCTGGGGGGGGCAGTGGGCGGACTGTTTGGGCAGCATGGAGCCTATGGTCACTCAAGCCACCGAGTCTCTCCCAGGAGAGACACATGGCTCGGGTGTGCTGAAGGCCTCGCAGTGAGTGCAGCCCGGCATTTTGTCACACACACCCCTCAGTGATGACACCCAGGATGACTTCACCCCCCCTTCCTCCGCCCCTGAGTTGAGGTGCAGGCAATGTTAACCCACAACAGAGAGCAGAGGAGCAGAAGAGGCAAAGCGGGGTATCAAACAAGAGATGGGTGTGAGAAAATGCATTGCACTTACATGTGCTTCAACTTCAATTCCACTAAAGATGATAACTTGAAGATTAAGCCTAACAGGAAATATAAGCTTTCAGAATAAATTTAAAGGCAGAAGGGAAGCTGTAGGCAGAGCTAGCCCACTCAGGAGGTGAGGTGAAGCAACTGTCTCAGACAGCAAGATCCACAGTGGCAACAGATCCAGATGTTGATCTTTATTCCCCCTCTGTTCATGATGTAGATGTTCACTCGCTCCTTTTTCCCTGGTGGGGAGGAGGAATCATTTTGCGATTTGCCTCAGGTGCTGAAATGTATTGGGCCAGCCCTGGCTTTTGGCATCACCTAAGTGTCCTGAAGGGACACGGGTGGCGCTGTGGGTAAAACCTCAGCGCCTAGGACTTGCCGATCGCATGGTCGGCGGTTCGAATCCCCGCGGCGGGGTGCGCTCCTGTCGTTCGGTCCCAATGCCTGCCAACCTAGCAGTTCGAAAGCACCCTTAAGTGCAAGTAGATAAATAGGTACCGCTTTATAGCGGGAAGGTAAACTGCGTTCCGTGTGCTGCGCTGGTGCTGGTTCACCGGAGCAGCTTCGTCACGCTGGCCACGTGACCCGGAAGTGTCTGCAGACAGTGCTGGCTCCCGGCCTATAGAGTGAGATGAGCGCACAACCCTAGAGTCTGTCAAGACTGGCCCGTATGGGCAGGGGTACCTTTACCTTTACCTTTAAGTGTCCTGAAAGGGTTGTTAGTGTCAAAAAAAGGTGCCCAATTCTGCCACTTTATTTAATCTAGGTTTTCCCTTTCAATGAAAATCCAATTAGTCTTATTTTAAAAAGAAAGTGAAAGAAAAGAAAGTCTACTGCCATTGTCCCTTTTTGCAATATCTTAATGGCCAGTTTGCAATATTAAGCTCCTGTCTAGAAGCACCTCAATGCTGTGAAGTAAAGCTATCCATTTCTCAGCTTTGCACAATCCAAGCAGGGGGAGTCTGAGTCTTAATTATCTCAGTCATGGGTGTAATGTAGGAACACGTTGCCTTGGATCTGTTTCAGTTCGTTCTGCCCAATGATGTGGAAAACTCCTCTTGCATGTTTGAGAACTGTCACCTGTTCTGTGGATCCTTACCCTTCCTAGGTAATGAAATTTGCCAGCTATGGGCTTAGTTTATTTTATCAATTTATTTGATTGATTTCACACCTGCCTTTTACCCTAAGGCTTAACTTCTGCACCTCAGCAGTGGATAATGTTTCTCTGGTGGAGGGTATTGTCCCTACTGCTTTTTTTAAAAAGCAATGATTAGATATATTTTAAAGAAAATCAAATTTTGATCTTTTGATCTTGGGTAACTATTGTTCAATTACTCAGGTTTCATTCCTGAGTATAATATTGGAAAGTGTCATTTTGGATTATATTAATTGACTCAGCTCCAGTCAGGTGTCTGGCCTGCCTTTTCTTTTTATCCTGGTGGATGATTTATGCTCAGGGGCGGAGGAAGGGGGATGCGGTGGGTGTCACCACTGAGGGGGGTAACAAAATGCCAGGTGGCACTCACTGCAGGCCTGGAGCACGCCCGAGCCATGTGTCTCTCGTGGGAGAGACAGGGTGGCTTGGGAGCACTGCAGGCTCCGCGCTGCCCAAATGGTTGCCCGCTGCCTCCCCCCCAGCTGTAGGGCGGCTGAGTGGGAGGAGGCAGGCAGACTCCGGAGGCCCCACGGTGCACCCCTATGGCGCCCGAGTGGCTTCCTCCACCACTGCTTATGCTGGCATGGGAGTACAGTCCTATAATTCAGCAGTGTAGAACATTTGGTCCACAGGCCTGATTAGGCCCATTAAGGGTTCTAATTTGTCCCATTTTCCCCACACCATGTGACCTGTCCTACACTTGATGATGACAATAAGGGAATAATAAATAAATAAATAACCACAGGTTTAGGGCAGAGAAAGACATGGCTCCCTGCTAAAAGATCATGTGCTGCCTGATCAGTTGATTGATGGTGCCTTGGTCTCTACAATTTGATTTCAGACCCATGGACAAAGGAAAACGTCATGGTGACATCAAGTGCTTAGTCCCACCCACTGGTCAAAATGGCCCATGGAAGTGCCGGGGGTGGGGTGGGGGAGGTCAGGATCAGACTTGCAGGCTGGGACCAATTTCTCACCCCTGAATTACCTTCTCATGGGCCTTGCAGCTCAGCTTCACTGTAGTCGTCGTTGCTCTGGTTACATCCAGATTAAACTGTGATGCAGTCTCTACAGGGCTGCTGTTGAACACAGTTTGGAAACTTCCACTGGTGCTGAATATGGCAACCTGTCTATGCTTGCAGATGCTCCATTGTTGACCATTAAAAAAAAATGTTTCTTTAAATCTGCTGTTCATTGAATATTTTTGTAGGTCTAAAAGGGGGCAGAGGGCAAATTTGGAAATCTAAGGAAATCACAATATACCCAGTTGACCAAAGGAGCACTCGTGCTGCTCAGAGTCCCACCCTGCAAACAACTGGGTGGGCAGCAAGGGTGTGTGTCTAAGGGTGCTGTTAAGGATCCCCGATCTACACCAAGGATAGGTCACCCTTTTCTGTTGATGCCCACATTCCTTTAGGGGCACCTCTGCTGATGGTGGGTGAATCGAGAGTGAGAAAGATGTTCTGGATTAAAGGCTGCCCTCCTTCAATTTCCCCAGCGCTATCTGCAGCGAAATCACCACCAGCAGCTTTGATCCCTGGTTTCAAGGTTGTATTGATGAGCCGCCTGGAGGGGGCATTTTGCCCTGAAAGGCGGTGTAGAGAGTCCTGTAAACAAACAAACGACGTCGAGGAGGGCCTGATCTACATTTGCTGTGATGATGGTCAAAACTTGATTTCCTTCCCGACCGTGTGTATCCGATTCTGTTGCTGCTGCGTTTTGCTGCGCCTGGCGAGGCGGTCGCCGCGTGCCTCGAGCTGATCAGGTAAGGGAAAGTTATCTGCAGTTCAAATATAACTTCGCGACAACCTGCCATCTGCTCGGCCAGCCGCCCTCGGCTCCCCCAAACCCCACCAGGCCAGGCGCACAGTAATCCGACTCCCCAGAGCGCGCCGGGCGGCTTCCCTCCTCCTCCCTCGTCGCTCGCTCTCCAGCAACTCCGGCGCGTCTCTGCCAGGCGCACAAACCCGGGAAGGAATGAGCGACAGGAGCGCATCCGGAGGCTGCTGGGGGTGAGTCGTCGGGGCGCTGCAGCAAGGCGCGGTGGGGTGGGGTGGAGGGCGCCCCAAGGGCTGCTTCACGCCAAATGGCAGGAGAGGCGAGTGTGGGATTAAAGGGGGGGTTGGCGCAGGTGGGGAAGGCGAAAGAAGGGGGCGCGGGGCCGAAGGCAGGTGGCAGAGAGAGACATGCAGAGAGAGAAACGCAAAAAGTTTGGCTACTGTGCACCGCTCCAGACCTTGGAGTCCAATTCGCAAAAAAACCCAAAAAAAACAAAACAAAAACCGCCCAACTTTTAATAGCGATGCCTCGGAGTTAGACCACGGTTGGACGTGGGCTGCAGCTGAGATGCATGAAGACAGCAGCTACGCACACATACGCGCACAAAAGGTGGTTTGGGAAGAGCTACTAAGAGGGAGAAGGGAAACAAGCCCCGCTTTGTTCCGGCGCGCCAAAAGAGCGAAGCAGGCCGTTTGGGGCTTTCCGTTTGCCAGAAGACAAGAGAGAGGCGAGCTTGAGATTTTCCTGGAACTTTTCGGCGGGTGGGGTGGGCAAACGAATTAAGAGGAAGGGATGCTATCTGCAGCAGCAGCAGCAACAACAACGCAAAGAGGCTTTGGCCAGGGCTCCGCGAGTGGCAGAAAGCGTGAAGGGGCTGGGAGAGTTGCGGCTGCTGCTGTAGCAGCTGCTGCTTCGCGAGGAGGACGTCCAGCAGGCTGCCCGGTCGCCCCCTTGCCACTCAGAGGCCAGTGCCTGGGAGGCGGGGCGAAGCAGAGGCCGTCGCGAGAGTCCTCTGCCGCGCCTGCTCCTTCGGCAGCCTCGGCGGAGCTCGCTCCGTCGTTTCTCTCCTCCTCCTCTGCAATCCCACATGTCTCCCACCGGTGGCCTCCTGCGCCCGGATCGGCACCCTCCGCTCGCCGTTGTGAGTTTGGATTCTGGGTCGCTTCTCCCATCTTCTTTGTAGGCTGCCTTGGGATGAGCTCTGGGTTGATCAGTATCTGCGACGGTGTTTCGTTTGTTAGTTTGTTTGGTGCTTTTTTGCTTTGTTTTGGCAGCATATATATTCCCTCTCCGCCAAACAAGCCGGCGAAGTTTCGTGAGAAAGCCCCACTTGCAAGTCTCCCCTGTTTGCAATATATACAAGGTTTGCTGCGTGCGCGTACGCTCGCGCGCGCTTGGACCCATAGCTGTCTAAGCCTGAAACGTTAAACCAAGGCGATCGGCGTCCCCGGAAAGGTCAAGGGCAGTCCCCGTCTTTTTCACCTATTTGGAAAGAATCCTAAAAATATACCGTTGCCAGCAGTTTGTGCTTACTCCGCGAGGTGGCGGCTGGGTCAGGGCAGAGAGGGCGGCCAAGGGACCCGCGACTGCAATTCTCAGGTTTGCGTTCCAGAGGACTTCAGGCGCGGGACCCGAAGGTAAAAAGTTGCGTCTTCCAAATTCTTTTCCCACCTCCAATTTCAGACCCTTTTGGACGCCAGCACGGGCTTGACCTCAGCATTTGCTGAGGTTTCGAAACCCTGAACGTTTTGCACAAGTAAGGGAGGGGGGAAGGATTCCATTCTCGTGCTTGCAAAGATAATATTTGGCTTGTTCTCTTTCGTCCCTCCCCCTCCTACTGGGTTGCTAAGTGGCGCTCAGGGGGGAAAAGATGCAGGCAGGCACACACGCACTCCAGACCGCTGTGCTCTCAGAACTTGCAACCAGGCACAGTTGCTGCCAGGAATGTCTCTCTCTGTGTGTTCATAGTTAGAATTCTCCTCTTCGAGGAAGCATGAACCTGCAGAGGGTGTCATGTCTGTAAGATTGCAACTGGCAACTTGGAGTGGATCTGGCCTCCACAATGGGAATGGCTTGGAACAGAGGGCCATTAAGGTAGGGAAAGGGAATGCCTTTCTTAGCCCTCTTCCTTCTGGCTAAACTTTAGGAAAAACTTTCTGGTGGAAAGAGCTATTGGACTGTGGAACTGACTTCCTCCGAAGGTGGTGGACTCTCATTCATTGGAGGTTTTGAACAGAGCTTGGGTGGCTGTGATTTCTGCAATGCAGCGACTGAACTAGATGACCCTTAGTTTCCTTCCAACCCTTCTATGGTTCTGTGACTCCTAGAGCCACTGTTGGGTGCAGGTGTTAGAAACTCAGGTTCAGATCCCTGCTCAGTTGTAAAACTCTGGAGATGATGGAGAATTTGTCAATTTAATTAGTTGAAAGATTAACTTTTTGTGGGACCAGCTTCCGTTTACTGTCCAGATCAAAAGTTAGTTTATTGTACTGGCCAACTTGTATAGTTAATTTGGCAGGTATCTGAAGTTGTCATGTGGCATGTGATGGATAGTGTAGCAGTAATTATATAACAAATATGATGTATGCTGTTTATGAGAAGGTATAAAAGCTGTGTAAAACCTGTGGTCATTACAGTACCTTTCACTTATGGGACTGTCCTTTACTGCAGTAAAGTTAATAAAGAAGGGTATCATCTTGCTTAAATATAGGTTGTGTTTTTATTCAATAAATTCCCTACCTGGGGATGAACAGTATTGCCCATGAGTAAATGTCACAGCAAGATAGAATCCCATACAAGTTTTGCAAAAGTATCTGTAGAGTTCATTGGTTTCCAGTATTTTGAGTATATGACGGCAGTATTAGGATTGCCAACTGTTTAAAAGGCAAAGGGCTCATTTAAAAGTTGCACAGCACATAGAAATTCATGAGGTGAAGCTTTCCCCATCACTTCATCTTTGTACCAGGAAAAGTTTCACCTGCTTAGTTTCTGCCTTTCAGGAAGCTCTTAATGACATGAGGAATCCTGCAAAAGTGAAAGTGATCAACCTTATAAGGTGCTTCCAACTGGTTTTTACATCATGCATCCCACTATATTCTTTTAGCTGGAACTGAGGCCTTTTAGGAAGTTTTGATATTTGGTTCCAAATTAGCAAAAAGCTGCTTTTATAAAATCAAAGCTGAGTCAGTGGAATTCCAACAAAGTGTATAAAATGTATAATTCAGAAAAAGATGGTATATCAATCTCTGGAATAGATAAACTTTATTTTGTGAAAGCATAATGTAAAATACAGCGGTGGATAGCTTCTGTTTTGATAATGTTGGTTTCTCATAGAACCATGCCAACAGCTGGGAAGAGAAACTCAAGTATGTAATGAGGACATGATTTCCTTACTTCGGCAGCAGATCATTGGCAGGGTTGAGTCTAGTAGGTCAGGCGGGGAGGATGAAGGCAGGCAGTGAGAGAAGCCAGGAAGAGCAGAGGCATGCAGGTTTAGGCTGAGGAAGCAGAAGAGCCTGTACGGCAGTAATCCTAGTTGCTGCACCATCATACCCTAACTGCAAGTGGAAGTCCATAGGGCACAATAGACATCTGTAGGTGGATTTAAATAACTACGTAGCATCAAGCTGGAGTTTCAGGACCTTGGATAGCTCTAATCAGACAACTTGTTTTACCAAGGTCTGGAGCTCAAATGAAAAATGTATCAGTCTTTAGACACCCTATCCTTTCCATGCTCTGCACCATTCTTGAAGAGTAGAGTGCCTTAAAGTGGTAGTTCTCTGGCCTAGAACCCTGTTGCCTATCAGTCATCTCATGTCTTCTGCATTGCCTGGATTGTGGAGCAAGGACTGGGAAGTGTGAAGTCCCTGGTGTAAAGGGAATCTGTCTCCAGGGGTGCTGACTTGCTATCTCTGGGGGTTCCAGTTTAGGGAGCTCTGGCTGACTTGGCACTGGGGTTGGTTCAAGACTTGTACAGCTTACATTGCTGGCCTTCATGGTGTAGCTGGTTCCACTTCTGTTTTACAGCACTACCTACTGCTCAGGGTCAGGGTATGCTCAAGCAAAGTCCTGGCCTTATGAATTTACACTATACAGTGGGGGATATTGCTTCCAAACTGTTCAACCCTTTGGCAGTAACAACCTTGGTTGGCTCCTTGAGATTGTACAGAGATTGTGAAGCCAGAGGCCCTGGGTTCATGTATTTAACTTGCCTATTTGACCAACTAATATATCTGATGTGTGGTTCAATCAAGAAAGTACTGCAGCTGTGCTACACACAGACTCAAATAACAACTTTAAGGTGTCTTTGGATGTTACAGGGAAAAGAGCAGGGAAGGGGAAATGAAAATGACTCATTCTTCCAAAGGTATCCATCAAAAGTGGAGATTGTGCATCTTCTCCCATAGTGATGTGAGGGCATAGTTCATATAAATGACTGGTTACCATACAATCTCCTGTTGGGAAGATTAAATTTGGGGTGATGGTCAAATCATATAAATGGGGGTGTATATCCCTTCTTCTAAAGAGTCCAGGATTGTGGGGGAAGATGTATTTCCTATACTCTCTCCTTGCCCCCCCCCCACTCAGAAAAGGAGGGAGAAAGCAGTCCGAGCTGATTCCAGGATTGGGGGTGGGTCACCTTTACTAACCCCCCTTCACTTGAAAGCATAGAAAACAACAATTCTCTCATGCCACTTCTAATTTTTTGGGGTGCTCCATGCAGTTTGACAATGCTGTGCTGTTGGAGAAGTTTCAGGTGTTTATTGGAACCTGGACCTCACCACCTTTGAGAAACAGTTCTGGGCCATGGTGCACACACTACTCCTAAATGCAGTTTGTGGGTAGCAAATAGGATTCATTCATAACCTCTTACTCAGTGCTTGATAATTCTGGCATAGCAGAGAGCAGGACCAGATTTGAGAAATCCCAGATCTCCTCCCATGGTCATAGCCTCAGCCATGTACAGTATGTAAATGTGGGAAATAACAGTGAGAAATAGGGGAGGCATGTGGTAAATGGAAGTGGGAAGTGAGCACCCTTCCTTCACTCCACTCTTAGCTAGTTATGAATAAATGTTAGCCCCACCTAGTCTGGGACCTTCTGCAGATGATTAGGAGTATTTAGAGCCAACCTTGAAGTTACTGGGTCAGCTCCTGATGTTGCTTTGTTTTCCTTTTTCAGTAAGTGCAGACGTCTGTGTAAGTGCGAAGCCATCATGGTGGCATTTAAAGGCATCTGGACTCAGCCTTTCTGGAAAGCTGTTTCTGCAGAATTTTTGGCCATGCTCATCTTTGTCCTCCTCAGCCTTGGCTCTACAATCAACTGGGGTGGAACCGAAAACCCTCTGCCTGTCGACATGGTCCTCATTTCTCTCTGCTTTGGACTCAGCATTGCAACAATGGTGCAGTGCATTGGACACATCAGTGGTGGCCATATTAACCCTGCTGTGACTGTTGCAATGGTCTGCACTCGGAAGATCAGCCTTGCCAAGTCAGTCTTCTATATTGCAGCCCAATGCCTGGGTGCCATCGCAGGGGCGGGAATTCTCTACCTTGTCACCCCCCAGCGTGTGGTGGGCGGCTTGGGAATTACCAAGGTAGGGTAGAGGACTTGGGAGTTCCCTATTCTTATGAAACATAATAAAATGGAACCTGAACCATACAGCACGTTTCCAATTTAAATTCAGGAAGATGCATATTTTTGCTCACTGTTGATTTCCCTACAGATTATAGGTGGGTAGATAATATGTATTAGCTGTGGTCAAGTACTAGGTATGGTGGAACAGTTATCTATCGAGCATTAGAATGATGCAATGTGGAGTCTAACGTATCAGTTATTGTGACTGAGAGAACACGATGCATTAATTAAACTTTAATCAAAGACTACAACTGAATTTTATTTTATTTTTTGGCTGATGAAGCTTCAAACAGCTATTGCTTCAGCCAGTTTGCAAAGCAAACCATCATTCTTGCCAATATAGTTTCAACTTTGAATTATATTTACACTGGCACAAATGCTCATTCGCATTGAAATGTATCACTTCTGCTTTATCTTGCTTCCGCCAGGCTCTTTATATTAACCTTATGCATGGAAACATTCACACTTGAGTATAGATTTGTCAGAAGAGCAGCATGGATATAACCTGAAAGACTAATACCATGTAAATGTGCTTTAATGTCCTTATTTATATGAACAAAGGAGAAATATGTGGCCAAGGTTAAACAATCTGCAAGAAGATGTTTTGAGAGTGTGCCTTCACATTTGGAATGGCTTCTCGTGTGATTCACACTGCTATCTTTTAATAAAAAGGGTGATCTCTTGATAGTCATCCTGTGGTGGAAACTGAAATGGAACCCATTTCCATGAAAGAGTTTAGCATATGCTTGGCAAACTGTTTTTCAAAAATCTTGATAGGCAGGCTGCCAAGGGCTTCATGAATCCATTCATAAGAACAGATTCCATGTAGCTCTCCATAATTAAGTGAATGCTAAAAATCTATTTCATGAGAGCAGGGTTGGTGGGGAGGCAGCTTGTGTAAGCTTTTAGTGAAGAGTAGGTGGTATTTATTCTTTAACTCAAAATAACAGCGCAATTTTATGTAAATGCCTTTGATTTATCCTACTGACAGCCTTTTCTTTACACCCAGCAATTGTTCTCTAATAGATATTTTCTTTGTAAAACTTTTAGAAATGATTTAATACCAGGTACATAGCAGCCAGGTGTGAAATGCAATTTTAAGATGAAAACATGGGAGTGTCAAAATCTATGTCATTATTATAGTGACTGATAACGCCATATATTTAAGATGACACACTTCTTTATAATAGACTGTGCCTTAAATTCTAGTTTCATTCTCCACTAATAAAGAATCCCATCAGTTAGCCTCACTGAAGGAAATTAAAATGCACTTGGGCTGCATGCTGCCTACTTTTAATTTAAACTGAAATTAATTGAGTTAGAGCTAATTAATGGATTTATAAGAGAACACTAAACTACTGTCCTCCTAAGGAAAAAAGAAGCCTTTCATTTCTTAAGTATATCATGTGAACATCTAATGGAAAAACCAACGCTCTTTCCTTATATGCTCTATATGCATATAGCAGACTGCATCTTCTGCTAGGCCAAATCTTGTATGTTTCTACCATATATGATAGTGACTAAACACCCAATTCTGTGGCTTGCTGCAGCAGCGCAGAATTGCTTGTGTCAGAACGTGAAGAACTATGTCACTTTGACATTTGAAAAATGGACACCACATTAGTACCACAGCTACACGATGTTGCTATCAGAGCTGCAAAAAAGCCAGACTCACAGGGAGCTAAAATAGTGTCACTCATGCCAGAGCACAACCTTGGTCAACCCAGAGATCACCCAGAATGTCCTGTATCCAGTCCTGAATCAATTCAGGGATGGGACTGTGTTTAATTAAGGTGTTTTTAACCCCCCCCCAAAAAAAACTCTTATTAAACTTACAGCCAAGAGTACAGAGGAAGAGGCACTGTGTAGCCTTCCCCTCAGACACACTGAGAACAAGAGAGTTAAAGTCCCCCCTCCCTGCATACCTCCCTGCCAGGCCCTGCAGCCTATTCTCAAGGCCCCATTGCTATAGCAACCTCTCAGACCTTCCTCTGCTACAATGGCGCCCTGCTTGCTTCTCCTATCACTGCTGGTCTCTGCAGCGGTGGTAGTAGACCTGGGCAGTCACTGTGGCAACAGGGCCTGGTGGTGATGGGATTTTGCAGGGCACTCCTTCACAAGAACCTTCCCTGACAGGAAGAAGCTTGTAAAGGAACTCTGCCATTCTGCAGTACTGAATCCTCTGTGGAGGACTATGTGGGGTGCTGCTTTGCAAGCCCTTTCCCAACTCAACCTAGGCCCAAATCCCCCCAAATCAGCCCAATTTGTCTCAGGATTAGACCAATTTGGTCCAGAGCCCTGTTCAGTACCACCACATGGTCTACCCTTTAAGGAAAGACCAGAACCATCAATAAGCAGTGCCTCCCAGCACTATCATAGTCGGTGACACAAGGCTGTTATTTCAATGACTTTAAATTACGGTAATCCATTATTATTATTATTATTATCATCATCAACAACATTATTTATTGAATTTCTTACCTATTGTTCACCAGGGCAGCTTACAGCAATATAAAAATACAACAGTAAAATTAGTTAAAACAATCTTCTCCCTCCTTTTCCTTTTCTTAACTTCACTACAGACACATCCAATTTGAAACGGCTTTAATTAGTAGAGAGGAAATTATATTTTCCTGATGTAAGAAAAGTAGTTTACACTTTTTCTGTGCTTCCTGAAACTCCAGTGTGTTTCCTTTATTTCTAGGTACATGATGACCTTTCCGCTGGCCATGGACTAGTAGTGGAGCTGATAATTACGTTCCAGCTGGTCCTTACTATTTTTGCCAGCTGTGATTCTAAGCGAAGTGATGTCACGGGTTCAGTGGCACTGGCAATTGGACTTTCAGTTGCAATCGGACACCTGTTTGCTGTAAGTTGCCGGCCTTTTCCATGAGCTGTGCTAGGTAGCTAATGGTAAATGTCATTACAATGTTTTATGAATCTTACTCCAAAACCCACTGTTGGCTCAAGTAAATTTGATGTAATGCCTGTATATCCCCAAGTACCTTTCAACTAACTTGCTCCAAAACATTGACTCCCTGCTTTGAAATGATATTATTGTATATGTGAAATAGGAATAATCTTCGTTTGTCTCACAGGAGACACCGATAAGGTGTGGTAGAAATATTCCTGAAACAAACATATAAAGTCAGCGTACCTAGACATCTTGTTGGGACCCTTTCAGATTGATGCTTTATTGTGGATGCATTCTGTGACATGTTTGTAACATTAAAATAGTGGTGGATTTATTCTGCTTTAGTTCTGTTCTGCTTTAATCCGTTCCGCAATGCTTCCCCAATGCTACCACATTATTGCCTTCCAGGGGACCTATAGAGCTACAAAACCAGGACAAAAATAAACCAGAATGTTTTTGGTATAAAAAGTGACAGGATTTCAGCACGAAATTAAGGAATATGCATGGCTTGGAAATGAAGCTCAGTGCAATAGCACAGTTGGGTTAGAACAGGGGTTGTCAACCTGGTCCCTACCGCCACTCGTGGGCGTTTCAGGTTTCTAGGTGGGCGGTAGGGGGTTTTACAGCAGAAGCTGAATCCTCCTCCCATTGAGCACTGGTGGGTGGTAAGGAAATTTTACCATCAAGAAAGATGCATTAGTGGGCGGTAGGTATAAAAAAGTTGACTACCCCTGGGTTAGAGTGTGGTGCTGATAATGCCAGGGTTGCAGGTTTGATCCCCATATGGGACAGCTGCATATTCCTGCATCACAAGTGGCTGGACTACATAGTCATAGATAGTCCTTTCCAAATCTACAATGCTATGATTCTATGACCACCCCAAAACCTTTTCAGGAACAAAAAGTATGGAAAACAAGGTCATTTGTGACCAACTCAATAACATCAAGAGCACAAATGACCATGAATGTGCAATTAAAAGGGCATTTGGAGGGACCCTAGGTTGCTTATAGAATTTTTTAATTTCTTGATAACAAATGACTAACACATTTAGTAAATAATTAAATAGTAAATAATCAAATAACAGTGTGTACATATAGGTGTTTGGTAGGCATAATTGTGTGACACCCACACTGTGCACATTTGTTCTACATTTTGAAAAGTGTTATATAAATCTAGGCCCACCGGCACATTTTGTTTTTTGAGTGAGTGCCATGCGTACTCCTCCAGTCACTTCTACCCACCCCAGATTACCCTCCCCCACTATGCTGAGAGAAAGAGGGCAAGGATGCACACACATACTTCTCTTTTCCAAGAGATCTGGGTAAAAGTTAGATCCGGCAGAATTAATCTGAGCTTTGAAAAGCACATAGAGATGAAGAAGAAAGTTGGAAAGAGTGTCCATATTCCATGAAGTATGAATAGTCCAGAGGGATGCTCACAGTCCTGGAAAGCATCTCCTAACAGTCCTGTATCCTGGTTCCCATTGCTGTCTCTGGCTCCTCACTTCTGGACTGGCATGAATTTTGAGGATAGACATCAGCAACTGGAGGTCCATGGGCTAGAACTGGCCCACTGAGAAATGTTTCCTATCCCCATTAGCTGCCAACCAGGTGGGGGAAAGAATGCAGAGAAAGTGGCAATAGTGACTTGGGCAATAGATCTAGAGCAATGCCAGTCATAAGCTGGTTCCATCACAAGATCATTAAAACATGTGGATGTCTGATGGTTGTATAATAATGATTAACAGTCTTCCTTTTAAATATCTTGCAGATTAACTACACAGGCGCCAGCATGAACCCTGCTAGGTCATTTGGACCTGCAGTTATCATGGGGAAATGGGAAAACCACTGGGTAAGTGAATATACCTGGATACTTCTCATTCACTCATGCATGATTTAGCAATGGCCACCAACCTGCTGGTTTAGGATTAGACAAATTTGTGGAGGACAAGGCTCATCTATGGCTTCCTCCACCATCAATAGCAGTATTATTACCATCATGTATTTTATTTATTTCAAAAAAATTATATACTACCTGATTGTAAAAAAAAAAAACAACCCACATGTTCCAAGATGAGTCAAAGTGAGACATTACCTATATTAAGTTTGATTCTGTATTGAAACAGAATCAATGCAATCTATAAGAACTTGTACTTAAACAGGATGCTCCTACAAATGTCAGTTGTCTCCTGTAACTAACTGATCTAATTAGATAGATTTCAGAAGGTTCTGCTGGAATGCCATCATAGAACCTTAGCTGTGTCTTCATGAGTGTATGTTTCTAGGCTTGCTTTCAATTGCTCACCAGATTTCCTTTCTTAGTGTTAGGAAACTGCTGAGATATGCTGGCAACATAAGTGCCAGTTGAAATAAATTAAAAAATTGTCCAGTAGCACCTTAGAGATCAACTAAGTTTATTCTGGGTATAAGCTTTCATGTGCATGCTTATACCCAGAACAAACTTAGTTGGTCTCTAAGGTGCCACTGGACAATATTTTAATTTATTTCAACTGCGTCAGACCAACATGGCTACCTACCTGAATCTAAGTACCAGTTGTTTGACTTCAGGTGTTTGTATTGTTGTGAGTTTGGGGGGTGGGTAGGCTGTATGCCTGAGTCACTTCCAACAAAGATCCACTTTCTTGAATAGCCAGACAAGTTTATTGGTAATCACCCACTAAGTATGGGTTGTTAAGGTAACAAAGGAAGTGGCTCCATAGCAGAGAGTAGATGGATGGGCCTCACTACCTCAACTGTTAGTTAGTTAGAAAGACAAAGGCCTGAGTTGAGGCATGTGAGCTAGAAGCTTGAAGCAGGAGGAAGCTGGCTGGGAAGCCTGAGAGACAGAGCCATGCCTGATTTCTGCTGTAATCCAAGGCTGTGATTATTGGGAGAAAAAAGACCCAGTTGGGTGTTAATGCTGTGAACCCCTCCATCATAGGCTAAGGTTGTATATATGTGTAAATAAACTGTATATCCTAAAGACACCACAGTCTCTGCTGTCCCTCATTCCAAAGAAACCAAACCCTGGGTAAGTGCCTGGAACTGCTGGAATCTCACACCACTCAGCGGTTGGGGTGGCGTGCAACAGTGTGTTGTATTGATTTAGTTTCATCCAAAGCTATTTTATGCTGATTGATTCATGAACAAAGGCATTGCTGATACAAATGACAAAGCATCATCCAATCAGAATTCAAGAGAATACTAGCTATTCTTCAGTCAGCCTAATTAAGGTTCTTGGGTGTGAGTTTATCTTTCTGTGTCTGTATGTGCTCCTATGCCTATAAAAGACGCAGCATTCCAGGTATTTATAAAACATCTGTTCATGTGGCTTGGCTGAACACATGTGTTCACATACTGTGCCAGCAAAGCCTCTGATGTGCCATTTACACATCCAAGCCCTGCTAAACTGGGTAGGTTGTTAAGATTTCCTGCAGCACCAAATACGGGAAGCACCAACTATGCTAACCTCGGTAACATCCAACTTCCTTATTGGACTCTTGACATTTCTTTGAAACGTTACTCCCAATCTGTGCTTAATGTATGTTTCGTTCTCCCTGTTTTGTACAGATATATTGGGTGGGACCAATTATAGGAGCAGTTCTTGCCGGCGCCCTTTATGAATATGTCTACTGTCCTGATGCTGAATTCAAACAGCGGCTCAAAGAAGCGTTTACTAAAACAAGCCAGCAGTCCAAAGGAAAATACATAGAAGTTGAAGATACCAGGAGCCAGGTGGAGACGGATGATTTGCTTCTGAAGCCTGGAATGGTCCACGTCATTGACCTTGAGAGGGGTGATGATAAGAAGGGTAGAGACCCAACCAATGAGGTGCTATCATCTGTATGACTAGCAAGGAGCACTGAAAGCAGGGAACAGTCTACTAGCAGGCCCACAGATAGCCTTCCACCCATAAAAGAGACAGATTTGTTGTAAATTAGCCACCTGCGACATCATAAAATTGTAGGAAAATGGCAGCAGTGAATTAGCTGTTTAATCAGACCAGACTCCCATTCTGTTGACATGGTAGCAGCTAACTATGTTGAGGGATCCTCATAGATTATTCCAAATTCATAAATGTCCTTTTGGTGGTAGCCATAAGGGAATCCTTTAATTCCCTCTCTGCTTTCTGAGTGAATTTTGAAAGAGGCATTGGTTTTAACGCAAGCAGTTATGAGCAGGAAATAGCAATCTTCGTCAATCAGATTGACAGATGAAACTTATCAAAAGATGCCTATAGACACAGAAAGAAGTGTCTATCAGATTGTTCTTCTGACACTTAATTGGCTGTTGTCAATCCTGATTAGAATTTTAATGACAAAATCTATGGCAGGTTCAGTGAAAGCAGAGCCAACATGCAAGATACAACAAATGCTTGCAAAAGCCTCATTCCTCCCTTTCTTCTAGTCCTCCTGTTATTTTTAATCCTTCCATGCTACATTTGGGAGAAGACATTTAAACAAAACAAAAAAAACAAAAAAGCAAGAATTGCCATTTGCCATTTTATACATTTTATACATATTCATACATTTTATACTTCCACAAAAAAAGGAAGTCCTCTCCTTTTGACTCATAATCTTTAAATGTCCCCCACATTGAGTTGTCCTTCCACAAAAACGTTCTCATGACATACTATTGCTGGAACTGTTGAAGACATACAATGAACAAAATAAGTCCGTATTCATCGCCATCTTGTAATGTGCGCATTCCAGCCAAAGTTAAGCCCTGTGAATTCCAGATACTTTTACCAGGAGGCATTTATACACAGCTTAATTTTCCCAGTGACATCAGTGGGACTTAACAGTGGTTAACTTTGGGTGGATCATGTCAAATAAAAATACACAGGTATCAAAAAGAAGTTGAAGGCTGTTCTGTTTTCAGTGCACTTATTCAAACAAATAAAATGTTACTGTGCCAATTTTATATAACTGAATGTTAAAATTGTGTAACTATTTTGCTCACAATGTGATTTTTTTTTTAAAAAAAAAAAAGCATAACAAGCAGGCTTTTCATAATTATTTAAAATACTGCTGGGAAATGCTTTGGTGACTGATGCTTTGCTTTGAATACTCTGTCGCTAAAAATATTTGTTTTAGAGCTGCCTCAAACACAATGCATTTCCTATATAAAAAGCTCTACATCCAGGCAAACTGCATGTAGATTTCCATGTGTGACAGTCGCAGACATGTCTGTTCCACTGCTTGCACTCAGTGTACATAGGCCAGAAAGCCATTGTCAACAGAGATGTGTGCAATTGTTGCATGATCTCCATGCAGTTATAATATCAATGAAACAGTTAAATAGCAACTGTGAATTTTCAATGCATCAAGAAGCCAGAGCATGGAATAGCTTGCAACTTTGTGTGATGTTGTGCTGCTGAATGGTGAGTTTGCATTTTATAAACTTCAAATGCTTTTGGTCAAAAAGGAGTAACGTTTACACTTTCTCTGAATGTAGCCAGAACTGAAATTTGCTATAGCTGAGGTTCTTTGTATGGAACTCATCCATTCCTATTAAGGTTTTCGGTGGTGAAATGTGGCAAATGTACAGAACCACCCTGAGAACACCTGGTCTTGTAGAAAAAGGACACTATACTACTGGTGAATATTTCTAAGTGGGGAGAAGTACATAGATAATCTTATGCACAAGAAACACGACGTGATAAAAGAAATATACACTTCTTCCTCCATAGAAGAAGTAACGCCCTTCTAACAAAATTGCCCAGTGTGAAGCAGCACCAAATGCACTGCACAAAAAAAGAAAGAACTGAGAGTATAGCAAAGCCAAAACAAAGAAATCCAACTAGGGCTGTGATCCTAAGCAAATCAAGTTACTTCCTAAGGAGTAAGCCTTGTTGGGTTTAGTGGAACTTCTGAGTAAAAAGGCATCATGTTGTGCAGTAAAATTCACCAGGTCTGCCAAAGGGAGACCATATGAAGAAAGATACTAATGCCCTGATGAGTGCTGCTGCACTCAGATCCCTCTTGATGGCTTCCCATAGGCATCTAAACAGTCTGGTGAGAGCAGGATGCTGGACCACATGGGTCATTGGCCTGATCCAGCAGACTCTTCTTTTGTTCTTAGAAAATAAACTACTGTGTATTTTGTAAGCATTGCAAGCCATTTGATGGTCATAAGGTAGCGTACAATTACCGTATTTTTTGCTCTATAAGACTCACTTTTTCCCTCCTAAAAAGTAAGGGGAAATGTGTGTGCGTCTTATGGAGCGAATGCAGGCCACGCAGCTATCCCAGAAGCCAGAACAGCAAGAGGGATTGCTGCTTTCACTGTGCAGCGATCCCTCTTGCTGTTCTGGCTTCTGAGATTCAGAATATTTTTTTTCTTGTTTTCCTCCTCCAAAAACTAGGTGCGTCTTGTGGCCTGGTGCGTCTTATAGAGCGAAAAATATGGTAAGTTTATATGTGAATAGATGCGGCAATGAATCATTACCCCAATCAAGATGTCCATGTGTGTCTCAACGCACACCTAGAGCTGTTCCATTCATCTGTGGCGCAGCACCTCAGCAAACAGAAAGAGATGTGCACGGAACTCTCAATGAAAATGTCTAGGGAAGTTCTGTAGACAACATTAGAGCTCATTACTCAAGAGCAAATTACTGGTTCAAGATCAAGTGTCTTGTGATTTCGACGTAGAACATTTTTCCTTATCTTGTTCAAGAGAGAGATCAAAACAATACCTTTTTAGTCACCATTTCCAGGTGGAATCTCTGTAATTTCAAAGTTTACAATAACTCTCTTGCCAATGCTCAATATGTGAACCCTCGGTGTCTTTCACAACCTTAAAAGTCAGAAAGATTCCTCAGCCAATGTAATATAGAATCCTGGAAGCAGATACAGAATTTTCATTTCACTAGTGATGTGAACTTCACAAGTGTCCTTGGTTGTATTTCTCAACATGTTTTGCACTGGTGTAACAGTTACTCTTTGGTTATACACTGAAGCTCCACTTCATAAATATCTGGCTGTACTTTCCCTCCTAAGCCTTTTTTGCTTTAAATTTGTATTTTGGTAATGTTTCATCAATGCATGTTTATAATTTACATTTTGTTAACTCACTGACTGTGATGCACTTAGAGGTTATTTCAGTGGCTTATTAAGATGTCTTACAAACTGATGTAACATGTGAGTCTTATATTTGAGATAGTGTTGTTGCCATGTTGTTCATAGCAAGCACTAGATGCAAAGCAAATCATTTAGAGACTGCTACAGCTTCACATACCCTCATCAACAGAAAGACCTGATAGTTTATCCCACTTTGTGTACCATACCAGGCCAGCATAAAGTCATAGAAATCATTCTGAAAGAGATGCTTTATACTCACAGCTGCCTTTCTCCTAGCTTTTCTGCCTTAAAATAAAAAATCCTCCAAATAATTTGAAATTTGGATGCTGAAAGTACCCTAAGGACTTTGTTGTGTGTGTGTGAAAGAATAAATTGTGTATAGTTGTACACACAGTTTCTAGTGTGGTACTGGCAGAAATGGCAGCATGAACATCACCTTTGTAATATTCTTGTTTTGATTTTTTGCCGTTCATATACAGCAATTCCCTACAAAGTTAATTGCCATAATCATTTGCATATGTTTCAGTTGAAATGTTTGGTACAAAAGGCAGCAATTTTACTTGGAATGTTATCTGTTTGGAGAACGCATGCCAATTTCCTTTGCTAGTTTTGGGAGCATGTGGATTAAGTGGGGTAAGCATTGTCTTCTGCTTCTCACTCGTGTCCCTCCGCAACTGAAGAGTCAAAAGAATCTTCATCGTGAATGTGGAAAGCTGTAATAAATAAAATGAGATGTCACAAAATATTTCATTCTGAAATCTCAGGTGCATATCCAGAATCCAATTTATAAAAGCCTATTAAGAGCTGCACGAAGGATAATCTATCACTTGTAGGACCAATGATAAGGGCTAAACTAGTAAACATACTAAACATATGGCCATTAAAAAAAAATATTACAAGTTCATTCAACCTTATCAGAACTGATGTGATAATAGTATTATAAATCAAAATGTGTAACATTTGGAATAATCTACTTAAGATGTCCTACTGTCAACAATAGAGTTTTATCTTGTTCCTCTTCTCTTCTGCTGTATTCTTTATGGTTATGTCTTGTAAATAAACTATTGTCTGTTTTGATTCATCCCTGCATTTTCTTCTTGAAATGCATTTAAAATGTTATAAAGACTTCAGATATGAACACTGACAATTAGGTGTCATGATGAATAAATGTCATTTTGATAAGGAATGAATAGTTGCAGGTTGTGGGTTGGAATAATATTCCAAAGGTGTTCATGATGGAAACTTTAGGCTCTTTAAGGCAGGGATGGGTGAACCTCAGGCCTGGGGATTGTGTGTTGCCTTCGGAGCCTCTCTAGCCCTCAAAACTCTTTGCTCACAGTTTCACACTCTGAGTGTGCCTGGCTGGAATGTGCCCTTGGACTCTGATAATGCCCCTTGATTGTCTAGAGAGAATACATAGGATTGTGTGGGTATGTGTAGAAACTGACCTGCTGTACAAAGGTAAAATTTACATTTTCCAGTGAGTGAAGTCAGACCTCTGATTGCCAAGTGAGTTGTTTGGATACTAGGGGAGGGATAGTCCCTCTGGAGAGGGTAGTTTGTCTGCCATTGGTCCCCACCATGCACTCAGCTCTACCTGTGGCTCCTAGAAGCAGTCAGCATGTAACAGCAGCCACACCCCGGGAAATAGCTTCAACTGGCTGGCTAAACCAGGTGAGGGTAGCTGATGGGTCTCAACCCTTTGGTGATGGTGTAGTCCAAAATATCTGGAGTGCACCAGATAGATGAATGTTGAATTAAGGTATCCTAGGAAGACCACTCTTCTCTGCCATAAACTTGCTACCTACCATTTTACTGAGATGACCCTGCATTATTGTATTTTGAGTGCACAATTTCTTCCATGTCATCTCGGGGATCATCTCAAGTCTGCTTTCAATACTATCCTTCCTATTGCAGTTGTCCACAAGGGAGGTTATCCACTCCCCAAATATTTATTTGCCTTTTCATTTTGCCTTCTCAAACTCTACAGTGGTCTTCGATCTGTTGCACAGCTAAGCTCAGTTAATACCTCAGAGAAATCAGTGGGATTTGTAGGTCCTTAATTCTACTGTGTTACAACCTGCATCTCTTGGGGGAACATGAATTTATCGAATGTTTTAATATTGTGCCATTGTTGTACATATAAGGCATGTGCCCCCTTTTCTCTTTATGCTTCAGCGAAGTCCAGCTATTCTGTGCATGTTATGTGAACTGCTATTTGTCAAAAGGGTCACTTTTGTTAATCTGTGGAGGTGAGGCTTACTCAAGGTTCATTTGGTTTTCTCAAAAATCCTTTGTTAATTCAGATCATAAGTCTACTCTGCTCTATCCAGGATTTGCATCATTTCCAGTCTTGTGACCTTGGAGATGCTTAACTGAGGACTGTCTGTATATGGATGAGAAAGTGCTCATCTGAGTGGTGAATTAGATGTTACAGCAAGAACATCAGATCATGCCTTATTCCCAGAAATCAAATTGAGGGTGTATGTGTATGCTGTTCACGCCCCTGTTTTTAAAGATAAAGATACAATGATTGTGATCATTATAATACTGGGTCCCTGGGCAGGTTTCAGCAATTTAAAAATGCAATATTAAAAACCGTTTAAAACAAATTACAGGCAACCCCTTATTTGCATGGGGCTTGCATTCCAGGTCATTGTGTTCTTGCGTGAAATCGCGTGCCATTGTAACACCCCATTCCATCCTGTTTCATTCCTGCTCTGCCCTACTCCCGCCCCACCCATTTAATGACATATTTTATTACATTTCTGGGTTTGGCACTGTGTGTGTGTGTGTGTGTGTGACTGTGCACATATCAATCACTCCTAAAATGGGGGGTTACCTGTATATCTGAGATGTCAAAATCCCAGATAAAGAGGTGTGTCTTCAACATATGGTGGAAACTGCACAGTGAAATTGCCAGACACACTTCTGTTGGAAGGGAATTCCACAGAATGCCACGGAATGCCACAGAAAATGTCCTCTCCCAGGCTGCCACTCCCTGAACCTCTGAGGGTGGTGGAATTACCAAGAGGGGCCCCCTCTGTTGGTCTTAACACCTGAGAGTCGGCCTGTAGGAAAGGAAGTTGTTTTTCAGATAGTCGGGGCCTAAGTCATTTAGGGCTTAAACACTAGGGTGGGCAGCGTAAACTGGACTCAGAAACAAACTGGCATTCAATACAACTGCTTTAAAACAGGAGTTATATGAGTTGTAAATGAAACCCCAGCCAGTAATCTGGCTGCTGCACTTTGGACCAGTTGAAGTTTCCAAGTCCTCTCTGAGGGCAGTATATAGTGCATTGGAGTAATCCAGTCTGGAAGAACTTGGAATATGTAACACAACTTTCTTTTCAGAATTCAGCTTCACTTTAATAACCCACATCCCTCCCACCACTGCCTCCAAACACCAGTTTAGCACCAGCCCTTGATCTAAAAATGGAGGCATGTTCCCTGGGCACCAAACAGCACCCTATCCTGAGACTGGAAAAAATGGTTCTTCTTATATATTCCTTAGCAAATTGTTTATTTTGTGCAAGTAAATTCTAGCTAGCATAAAATCCTAACAGCATCAATGACAAGGAAACACATTTTTTCATATATGTCAATGGGGCATAGCTATCATTCCCTGCAGAAGCTGGCCTTGAACTTGGATGGAATCATCTGTTCCCAAAGGGTGAACCTTTCGTATGGAGAAAAGACAGGAAAACACTAAGTTGCCACAAGAAACAGGAAACTTCTCTTGGCAACTCTTCAGGGGCCAACTGGAAAGTGGGAGGGAGAAGGGCATTTCATGGTGTGGTAAGTTGTCCCTGTAAACTTCTGAGCACATGCCCAGGGACAACACTTTAAAATAAAGACTTAATGTGTATAGAGATGAAACATGACAGGGTAGGGACAAAACAAGTTACAGAGATCAGGAAAACGTTGGGCTGTGATGCCATTTGCCTGGTGGTGATGCTTCAGAGAAACAGCTGCACAACATCTTCTCAGAGCTAATTTGGACCAGCTGCATCACAAACAGGAGACCTACAAGCAAGGACGAATGTTTTCCAAAGCACTTATGATTTCTCACTCTCTACACAGCTGTCCAGAACAGTTCAAGTTTACTGACTGGCACACACTGCTAGGGGACAAGAGGAAAGCTTCTGTAGCCTCCAGACTCAAATCTGAGCATGTTGCTCTGTGGCTTACAACCTTTTATATCTGAAAAAAGTGCCTAAAACAGAAATGGGGGGACAGCTGACCACAAGGGAAGGAGGAGGTCAAAGAGTCCATCTAGGCACATCCCTCAAAGTAATCAAGTCCTCAAGCTACCCTTAGAAATGGATGCCGCAGATACATTTCTCCTTGTGTGGAAAGATTCCAGTTGTCAGCAGCACCAGTATTATTTTTTCTTCTTCCTTTTGTAGGAAATGATGATGCGCTTGTAACACAGCACTAGTTGTGCTGTTAGATATTGGGAAATCTCATTTTCCAGGCATCCATGCAAAACCTGGCATGGGTGTTAAGTTAAAATGAGATTCCTAGCCTTCATTGCCATTGAGATTGCTGTGGTGGTCTTGGAGAGTGCCTGTGACACCACAGATGACAAGAGGCACAGCTCCACCGTTCCTTAACATTCTGCATGTGCAGTTTGTGTTTGTATATAATTCTCTCCCACCACCACCTGTACCACATGGTAGCTCACACAGCCCTTGAATGGGGAGGGACAACCCATCGCAAACATGAGCAAGGCTACCTACAGGAATGCGTGGTCATTTCAGATTGTTTCCTACAGGTTTTATGAAAGATATGCATGTTGTTCTCCAGCAATGTGGCTGTGCACACACAATATCTTAAAAGCCTATTTGAAGCCCTTTTCTTTTCATCAAAGAATTCTGGGCACTGTAGTTTGTTAAGGGCTGCTGGGGATTGTAATTCTGTGAGGGGTAAACGACAGTGGCCAGAATTCTTTGAGGGAAAGAATGTGCTTTAGAGTTCCAGAATGAACACAACTTAAAGTGCAATCCTTGGTTTCTTTAACTGGGGTTAGTGGTGGTTTTTCTCTCATATAGCAGAGGCGGGCAACCTGTAGCCCTCCAGATATTTCTGGACTACAACTTCTATTCTCTTTGATCATTGGCCACATTGGGTGGGGCTGATGGGAGATGGAGTCCAACAACTTCTAGAGGGCCTCATGTTTCTCAATCCTACTCTAGTATGTGGTCCCAGACTATTACTCTGTACTTCTTGTAGCTTTAATAAAATATAAACCTACTTATGGAAGCAAGATTCACAGCAATCAATAGAAACGTTGTTCCCAACTAAATGAATTAATAGCCATTGTGAAGAATCCAGCTTGTGTGTTTACGGAATGTTTCTTCCACTCTGTTAGCAAGTGGACCTCATGGGAGGCTGGAGAGGTGAGGAGCTGTTTGTGTTGCTAATTAGAGAGACAGACATGAAGATGAGCTCATGGTCCCAGGATGGCTATGATTTGCTCTAACCTCTTTGGAGAATGAGTAATTATCTCAGTAGAAGATGTCACCTGGCTTATGATACATAGTCATAATAATCCATTGAAAATGGAGTTTTAATTTTCTTTTGAAAGGATAATTTAATGGTATCCAGCGGAACCTGAAAAATACATTAAGATGGCAAGAATGAAATGCACTGGGGTACTAATTAATGGCATGGTGGCTGGCCAATTATTTTCGTTCATTAGAGAAACCAGGCACCTTGGGATGAAGGCTTAAATCTAGTGTCCAGTGCTCAGTGTTTTAGCAATTTACTTGGTTTCCCTTGCAGGGGAAGATAAAAGTGTGCAAATTGTTTCATTGGAGATTATCCTGCTGTATGTTTGTGTGTGACATAAACACAGCTGACAGCAGTACATAAATACAAAGATACTCTAGGACAAAATAAACGTGATGTGGGAAATTCGGTACCAGATTTTATGACTTTTCTTAAAAATTAAAAGGGTGCTGAATGAGGGGTGCTTAAACTAATTCTTCCCTTCGAATCCCTTTCCCAATCACAATCTCTCCCTGCTTGAAGCTGGTATTAGCCCTGCTCAGGAAAAAACAACATGTCCCTTTATT